GCAACGAATTCGTTTACGGTATTTTTTGCATACCTTATGGACGGGACGCATTTCGGGCAAACCCATTTGACAAATGGATGGAATCCACCTGGAGCTCCAATACGGATGTAAGGCAAGCTGCCAACTTCCTCCAGTAGGAATAGTCCCAAGACGAATAGAAGTGGTAGGAGTCGAGCCATTGCACAGTTTTCTATTCGGCCTAAATAGGAAATTGTACTATACTTGTAAATATTGCACGGAACATTCTAGAATACGCTAGAACACTCTATGATTGTTCTATAATTCTAGGATTCTGAACTGCCCTAAAGCTATGATCTGATGGTACCACTGTAACTATCGTATCAATATCTTTTGAAACTGGGAAAGCATTGACGCTAGCGCAGGGATTTAAATCCACTGTGCAAGAAATTGCAATGGGTCGCCAGGTAAAATGATCAAATGATAGCAGTCCAAATTCTCTAGGTTTGATCAGCTTTATGTGTTTAGAAGGATGAATACTCACGAAGTAAACAGTGTGATAGGGTTCCAATTAGCTGGGTCCTACGTAATAGGACTTTAGATTTCGCAACTTTAATAGAAAACCCACAGAACTTTAACGTGGCTGCAATAGCGTCGAGAAAAAACAGAGTCCGAAAAAACATTAAGTAAAAATTCATCAAATCTAAAATTATTCCTAAATACCGTAAACTCTCTAATTTAACCCCTCCCCCTAATTTTACCCCTCCCTCTAATTATTCCCCTCTCTGGAGATCGATTGAATAAATATGCCCCCGGGGGTTAAATTAGAGAATTTACGGTATGTGCCAATCTTATTTTCAATATAATTACGATAAAAACAAAATTTGTAACAATGTTTCTTGTATAAACCGGAAGTTCCTGTTCAGAAAAATTCGGAAATGTCATTTTCCCTCTCCCACAATTAAAAGTTTTTTGCTATCGCAATATTGTACTGTAACTGTTAAAGATGACACTATTTCGTTCGACAGCTACTTACGGCTTTACCATCGAAAGAAGTAAAGTTTTATAGCTAGTGAGATATTAATCAAATCCAACTTAATCCGCTATCTTTAAAGGGTAAAAGACTATAAAATGTTAGCCCGCTCGCAATATACGAGGAAATATGGATTTTCAACAAAAATGTCGCAATTGATGCGATTTAGGTTTGTAACGATTTCCGCGACTCCAAATTAAGCGCATTTGGCGTTAAAATTTTCCAAAATTAGAAAATTTTTGAAATAATTATGATCAATATTTTTGACGTGTATTTCAGTTTTTACTAGAATAAATTCAAAGATTGAAATCAAATGTAGTCCTAAAGTCAAAGTCTAAGGACACCAATTTTTCCGAAATTGCAACATCTGAGTCCAAACTTCGATAAATTTGATAAAAGCCAGAGCACTGAATAGCAACAAATGATAATTTAGCCTGCACCTGGCCAATTATATATAAGCCATCTGAGTCATTGAACTTTAAAGCTGGTGGACTCTTAATCAAGGAAGTTATCGCCACAATACGAAAAGTCAGTAAACAAACGGCATGTGACCATTTTCTTTAATTTTCCCAATTTTTTATTTGTGAGTTTTGGATTTTGGTTCGCATTTTCGCGTAAATAAAAATGTTGATCAAACTTTGCGGACATCGCTGATAACCAAAACCAATGACTGAGTTCGAGAAAGTGGCTGCTGATCAAATAAAAGAATTATAATCCATACGTACCAGTCCAAGGATTTGAGTTGACCTGAGTGGAAAATTCCAATTTTCTAGGGCAGCACACCAAAATTTGTTCAGCATTGTGTATTTAGATGGATGAATGCAAGTTGCGATTTTCTCATTTTTGCTCTTTTAATTTTGCGCATTTTTTATTAAAAAGAATTGAATTAATAATTTTAATATGCTCTGAATGATACTCGAGCTCGATCCTTATGATACTGTACAAAGATTTAAAAATTACACGGGGCTTCTAAACGGGCAATCGACTTGTGTGCAGTGATATCAATTTCTGTGAAAAAACTATAGTATATTTTGGTAAACTGTAGTATAGCTTTCAATAGATATTCAGATCACTGTTTGTGTGGTCCTTTGGTTTCCCTTGAGCGTGGAGCACTGTGAAGGTCAACGACTTTGTTTACGCGAAAAATCCTAACCAAAATCGAAAATTCAAACAAAAACAAAGTGGGAAAATTGTAGAAAACTTGGCCACATGTCCTTTTGTTTACTCATTCTTCGTATTGAAGCGAAAACTTCCGCAATTAAAAGTTCATCGAGTTTAGGGTTCAATGATTCAGATCAGAGAAGTAAAATTCGGCATTGGTCGTTAAATTATCATTCGTTCTAAACATCAATTTAAGCAGCTCTCGGATCAGTTTTCGTTGTGAAACCGATTAGATATGTCCTAGAAAAAATTTAAACTGATTTTACTTATCAAGCTTAACTTGAAGGATTAGACAAAGCACTAGACGTATACTATATGATGACACGGCGCACTACGCAGCCAAGGACCACGCAAGTTTATTTCTCTTTTTACAATTTTGAAACCCTGTGAAGAGAGAACCATCCATGTTCAAAGATGATAGAAAATAAATTATACAATCTGTTTCATTCCACAAGTAAAAAAACTGTAATCTCTATTTGATAAACATTGGAAATGAAATCACCGAAATGTTTTCCATATGCCTTTTGCATGACTCTTCGATATTGACCCCTTAATCCATTTAGCAAGTACATTTGCTAGCGTGCCTCATGCAGGGCCCTAGTTTCATATTGGTAAATCTGGTAATTACCAGGGGTCCAGCTTTTGGAACAAGCACCCCTAAGAATGCCTCAAAAATAAATTCATAAAAAACAAAAGGGTCCCCCTTTTGTTTTTGAAAAGTACCAGGGGTTCAAAAAACCTGAAACTAGGGCACTGGCCTCATGCAAAAAATGTTCATAATGAAACTGATATGTAAATCAATCATGCACTTTTCAGTGGTCTCAGCCCACCGATTTCACCTCAAATTCCACTGTGTGGTAAAAACTGTCTGTCTATAAAGGAACAAAATACAATTCGAACAATATCGGTTTCTGTAAAATTTGATTTTCTGCTAGGAAACATCAGATTCTCCCAAATTCGTTCCTCTTATAACGGGTGATAACTAATTATTGGCAGTAAATATATTGTATTCAAAAATTATATTTTTGGCGTTACGTTCCGATGTGTCAGTTGTGTTAGTTGTAGCAAATTTTGTCTAGTTTCCGAAAATGTATAACATGTCTGTTCGATAACTGTTTAAAATTTAAGAAGTATGGCATCGAATGAAGACACTCTCAGAATCCGAGTGTACAAGGTTTGGACAGGTGTGTCTGCAGAAATCTTCAAATTTTTTTGTTAACATGATTTCTGCCTTGAAAACTTTTATACGCAGATGAAACTAGACAAAATTCTGAACACTATAGCGAAAACCGGATATTATTTAGGCAGTTTTTATGGATTTTAGAGCTGATTTTGTAAAAGTCCGATTTTGAAAAATGTCGATTTTGGAGAAAATCGGTATTCTTGGGCTGACATTTGGCTGCAGATAACTGTAAAATCCATAAAACCTGGCTAAATAATGTCGGGTTTTCGCTATAATGTTCAGAATATTGTCTAGTTTTATCTGCGTATAAGATTATGCAAGAAGACTATCAATTTTATGAAAATTTTGATAATTTCTGCAGACACACCTGGTCAAAAATTTTTGATCTCGACCAAAAATTTAAAAACCGAATTTTTGGCATTCCAGGGGAGTATCGGATAAATACTCATTCTGGGATCCTGGACAAGGCTCTTGGCTGTATTACTGTTTTTACATCTCCGTCGGATCACTAATTTTCGCGGAGTTCGCATTATGTCAAGTCGAGGTGTAAAATTTTCGGAATGGAACTTGTACACTCGGATTCTGAGAGTGTCTTCATTCGATGCCATACTTCTTAAATTTTAAACAGTTATCGAACAGACATGTTATACATTTTCGGAAACTAGACAAAATTTGCTACAACTAACACAACTGACACATCGGAACGTAACGCCAAAAATATAATTTTTGAATACAATATATTTACTGCCAATAATTAGTTATCACCCGTTATATGAAAGAATTGAAAAATTTGTGATTATACTTATTATACGTTACAAGCACAAGCATTCTTGATACATAAAAGTTTGCTTGCGCCCATATTTTTGGTAATTACAGCAAGTGCCATTCCTACGAGTGGCCCTGGAAGAAACCGCAACGACCTGGCATTATGCTGTAAGTAAGCTCCAATCAACATCCGAATTCAGGATTTGTAAAAGATCACCTCTTATCTAAACAGCAGGCATTGTGTCACGTGTTCCGCAAAAATATTTTTCCGTTTTAAGCCAAGATGGTGGAACCCTTATATAGAAAATTGACACCGTTTCCCTTTAAATTTTCCCGGGTTTTGACCAAAATCCAGGATATACGGGCAAAATTTTTTACGCTCCGCCAGGTTCGAGCGTATGATGAGCCAAACAAAATGAGCTATTACCGAGCCGTAACCTACCTGGGATTTTCTGAGTTATCAGATGAGCAAAATCCTGGATTTCGACCAAAAGCCCATGTCTATTCAAAAGCCATCTTCGTAACGGCATAACGAGCGGCACGAAGCGCCACGAAGGGTAACGCATCACACACAAATCTCAACCGTTGACCAAAACGTAAAATCAAAAAACGATTTTAGATAATGAATTAAAAAATCAATTAAGGAAACCATAAAAGAAAGCTAAATTGCAGGTTTGAGCCCTGCCTGGGTCAATACACTTTTCGTGGTTTTATTATGTTAACATTTTGCTAATTTTCCTATTTGGCTGTAATTTATTTTTTATGCTATGCGACTCATTTTTAAAATACGTTTTGCCACTAATTTAGTGATCGATTAGAACAAAGAGAGTAAATTGGCAGCAAACAAACCAGAACGAATGAACTAAAAAGAATGACCCAATACATACAAAAAAAGTGTATTGACCCAGGCAGGGCTCAAACCTGCAACCTCCGGTTTCGTAGACCGACGCGCTTTCAATTACGCCACTGGGCCACTTGATAGGAAGGCAATTCCTATCCCATTTATTCCTTTCATTTGCATCGTAGTTGGAAAAAATGCAACTGTTTCACATTCGCGTACATTCTTTGAGCGTCTGTTCTTTATATCGATTCATTACAGCGAAAGTTCTTTACCCTTGGAACAGCATTTTGATTTTTGATGTTACTGCCAAAATGGACTGCGATGTTTATGGGTGCTGTTCCTAATTTGAGCTGAGCTTCTGGACAAAACATCCTAAGTTCCAGGTCCTGATTCGGTCCATTCTGGCTTAAAACATGTCTGTTACGCTAACGGATTTCGGCTAAGCGACAATAAAGTACCGAAAACGGCTTTTTGACAAGTCTCATCTTTAGTAATTCTCAGCTCTTGACTCAGCGTCCTCGGAAGTTTGGAATATTTGTTGTGTTTCTTTATCATCCATCAATTAACTGGTACATTGACGACAAAATTTTATTTTTATGTGTAAAAAATCGATATTCCATAATAAATAATCATTGATCACATTTCAAAATTGCTCTTGAAAAGGCATTCCTGAGCCGTTGTTGGGATGTGCGGCGGTTGTCAGAGGATGGCACATTTCTTTTTCCTTTTATTCCGCGGCGGGTCCAAGACTACCAATATGGCTTCATCAAACACGTTCTTCAGGCCTTTCTGAAATCACGGAATACATATATTAAAGTCAAAATCATAATTTGTTTTTATTCCGGCACAAAACTGACCGGGCATGATGTCCGCCTGATCCCCCTGTTATTATAATAGATCTACCCATTATCCAGATTTTGAATAGAGTAATTTTAGGTGTTGATCATGATTTATGTGCTGGTCATGCCATTTTGGATACCTGGCCGAATTTAGCTGACCTCTTTAGAAGTAATTGGAATAAATATAAAAGCAACAAATTTAAAAATCGGATGTACATACAGCTCAAAAAGTAAACTTATAGTCGTTATTATCAAAAAGGTATAGCTTTTTACAATACAAATCTATAAGTGCCAAATATGTTCTAGTAATTTTAGTGTTGGGAAAATTGTGCTATATATGGTTGTTAACTTTGCGGAATTAGGTAGGTGAAATCCTCGGGAAACTACCCTACAAGATATATCTTGTCACAAACCTGGGTCAGTGCTGAACACTCCACGTATTTGACCGCTTTAAGCTCTTTGGCTAACTTTTCGCCCATCTAAAATATAGATATAAGATTGAAGACATAGAAAAAAATTACCTCGGTTGTGATGGGCCTTTGTTTGTTTTTGGCAAGCTTCTCCACTACTTGCATGTCGTTGCGCAAATCAACTTGTGTGCCAACCAGGAGAATCGGTGACTTGGGACAATGGTGCGTGATCTCGGGCACCCACTGAAAACTTTAAATATTACTTCTTATATTAAAATAGGAAGTATTTACAAAAGGGCATACAATTTTATCCCGCTAGAGCTATATCACTATACGATGTCACACCTTATACCAATATCTTTTATTAAAACTTTTTCATGATTTTGCATAAGATTTATGACGTACATTCTGGCAAGCTATCTATTGACATATTTTATTTATTTATTTTACTATTGTACATAAAACGTATTGATTTATTGAAAGCTTATGCACTTAGAAAGCATGGTGCGGAACTAATTAATGTATCGGCCAAGTTCGGGTACTTATATAAACTATTGTCTTCAGAGAGTATGGCAATTGAATATATCACGTTCATTCAAAAAGCTTTATAACAAAAAGCTAACTACTGTCTATTTTGTTAAATAGAATGTGTCATTCCGTATTCTTAACTGATGTTAACTAAAAACAATAAAATATCTACTACCAACCTTTTCTTTCACGTTCTCGAATGATGCTGGCGTTACCACGGAAAAGCACACGAGAAAAACGTCGGTTTGTGGATATGAAAGCGGTCTCAATCTAAATATAGAAATTAGAAAAACAAGGAAAGAAATGACGAAAGCTGAATAAGAAAAAAGATACAAAACCTGTCGTAATCTTCCTGACCAGCTGTATCAAATAAACCCAAACTGTGTGGCTCGCCACCGATCATAACGGTTACCTAAATTAAATATTGGCCGTAAATCAAATTTATAAAAATAACATGCTTAACATACCGCGTAATTATCGAAAACTGTCGGAACATATTCGCTAAACGACAAAAAAATTATACCCCGACAAGAATTGTATAACACAATGAAAGTTTAAATTTGTTTCGTGTTGCTGAGGTATTAACTGTCCTAGCTTCTAGTTGTTTTTAAAAGTAAAACCCAGATCTGTTCGCTAATAAAAAAATTCTTTGGTCTTTCAGAAAAAGTTCGTAAATCCTGAAAGGACCTCAATCTTGGGACAATTAGAAATGAAATCTTTACGATAACATTTTAATTTTTTACAAAATTTACCTTGGAAATTTGTTGGTAGTGTACGAGATGAGAAGGCAAGTTTTACCGACAGCACCGTCGCCTACAACGACGCATTTGATCGTCTGCATTTGCCTGAAATCATCAAAAATTAGCTCATTTATCACTCATAATTATAGGGTCATAAATAACATTTCAGGAAAAATGAAAAAAATGCATCGAGATCTAGAGAAACAATTTATAGCCAACTGATCCAAATTTTCAAACGGCGTCTAAAATTTTTTTTAGTGATCGCTCATCTGATCAGCCGGTATTGTAAGAGCATTGATCGATAGAAATCAGCGATCACTCATCAAATGAGTACTATTGAAAGCCTATCTTAGGACTAGGATCAAGTCAGTCTGAAAATCACATGAGTATTTTGAAAGTTAAGAGAAATAGCGTTAAAGATTTAATGAAACCTCCAAATCTCCTACCATTTTAACCAAGTTTGGCAAAGTGTTAGCAAAGAAACGAAAGGCAATAAGGAAAAAGGAAGGCATAGGCGGTGATTCACCATTTCTGTGACCATTCGTTTCTTCTGCCTTTTGTTTTAATGCTAACACCATGACGGGAAGGATTGTGTTAACACCATTACCATAAAATCAAGGGTCAAATCAATAGAGAGATACACTGACAGAATTATACAAATCTTGATTTAAAAAAAATTATTTTGCTTTTTTGAGGCAGTTTTCAAATTTGATATTACTGATTCTACCTCAATTTTTTCTCTAGTTCCCAATGCCTTTTTCTGATTTTTTAATTTGCATGAAAAGGTGGCCGTTCCAACCAATTTTAATCAAGGCTCCTGGGAATCTCGATGAAAACTCGATTAATGGCCACATTTTGGCGTGAATATGAAAAATTGGAAAAAGCATTTGAAACTAGAGAAAAGGTTGATATAGAGGCAGTAACATCAGATTTATGACTAATATAGTGAAAACTGCCTAAAACGGGAATATGAATCTGTTATGTCCGGAATACATAATTGTAATTATTTTAATCATAACTCGAAAAATCTCCTCAACTCTCAAAAAATTGAATATCTTCCGTGAAATTAGTAAGATTTTGTTGTAATCCCATTTACGGAATTTTTCAACATTTTTATATAGTGAAAAATCAATAGTGGACCTATTGTTTGTTAACAAATGTATTTCAAAAATTTATTTAAACAATAGGGAATATTTAAAAATTTTTGAAAATTTTCCAAAATATAGGGCCCTAGATTTAAATGAATTTTTGAATACATCTTGTGAAAAAATTAATAGGGTCCCCCCTATTGATTTTTTCGCGAGATGTATTTCAAAAATTTTTTTCAAAAATCATGGACCTTGGATTGAAAAAAAATTTCTGCTAAAATTTTGTGAAAATCAATGGGTCCCTATGGAATTTTTGGAAAATTTGCCAAAAAAAAAAATAATTTTTTTCAAAATCCAAACCTAAGATAAAAAAGTTTCTACTAAATTGTTAAAAAATCAATATTCAATTGATTCATATATAAAATGTATGCAAATTCCCGGATAATGGGAAGCACCAGATTTTGTTGTAAAATCCACATTTTACTATGGAAATTTTTTCAAAAATTTTTTTCAAATTCAAAAAACATTTCGGAACTGTGGTTCACATCTAAAAATCAAGAATCAAAGGAAATCAATAAATTCTCAGAAAATCTCTTAACATATATAAGAAAAGGAAAATAATTTTTTGTGAAGTCACACCGAAGATAAAAACACGGTTCTCGAGTTGGACATTGAGAAACAAAATCAATATTCAAATTTGATCTCATACAGTATTTGCCTCAATTCACGCGGGAAAACATGAGCACCCCAATTTTATAAATTCTACACAAAAGAAAATGATAGTTCCTTGCTTTATGATGAGAGTAGACCATTTGAGCGATGTGTGTGGTACGTTGAAAAGGGAACTAATAGAAAAGAGTGCATAGAAAATGAGTTATTGTTGTAGGGATATTTTCTGGATATCACACCCCGCCCAACGTGATCACTTATTCATGATTGGATCCACTGGTGGATACTTACATGGGGAAGGGCTAAATATTGTTGGCATATGAGGGATTCGTAAATGGGTACATGTTGGGTTCAATTTTTTAACATTCCAACTTGGGGGTACGTGTGGGACTACTATGGTACCAGTTGGATGGGGGAGGGAGGGGGTACACACTTAGGTGTCCTGACCAAATGGGAAGTTGTGGACTTTTTGGTAATCTGTATGAGTAAACTTCCTCCCGTCAGTTGTCACACCCACAGTTGGTACTCACCAATTAAAATTACGCTAAAGGTGACATGAGCTAGTTGGATGTGGCAATGATGTCCGAAAATCCATGGACCTAACACGAAAGTTTTTCACAACACATGCAAAATTGCAAGAAGCACATGTATCATCACATGGCAGGACGACTCGAGGATTACTATTTTGCCTTATATCTTGGCTATAGCCTCAAGTAATGGGCTGTCAGTTTAACTCAATACAGATTAGCTCACTTGAGGACCATTACACAAGTGAGGCAAAATAGAAAAATTCAATAATTTTTCTCAAAAAAGATTGATTTTCAAAATACCGAAATTCGTTATAACTTTATTTGTGAT